CTTAACTACCATATTTGAAGTAGTTCCTCAAATGAAGCAAACGAAAAAGTTGTGTTTCATGAAAAAAAATGCCACAACAACCACATGTTAAAATATTTCAAGTTAAATTAAAAAGAAAAAAATAATCTAATATTTTCTTGTGGGTGCTATGACTTTTCCAGAGGAAGCTATAGCACTCCCAAGCTCCRCCCTGGAGCCACCGCTGGTGTCTGTTAGCAAGATATCCCATGAACCACTGGATAGATTCTGATGAAACTTTCAGCAAGTAATCATTGGATGTACATCAACAACTGTTCTACTTTGTAAGTTGCTCCAATTCAAGAAAGCTGCTACAGCCTTTCAACTTTACCAAGCACAAATATGGCCTCAGCTCAGTCAATTCTACAGATATTGAGCTTAAATTTGATGTGGTGTGACAAGTTTTTTTTTAATTTTTATGTGTTGTTTTTATATTTTTCTGTCTACTGTTTTTACTATATCTTATTCATTTCTACCTCATTATGAAAATAAGGTGGGCTGTCCTYCTTGGGTCAGATCATCTACTATTGGTCAGTGGAAGGAGCAGGAATTGTGTAGATAAAATGTGCATGCCTGCACTGCCTCAGTTTAACTTACTTTATCCTCTTAAGCCACAAGGGGTTTTCTTGAAGTTTATTTTTTCTCAAAATACCATGCCAAACTGTAATTGAGAGCATCTCAGCATTCCATTTACAAACTCGGTGCCACTTTACAATAAGACTCCCTTTATAAATGGCTTATAAATGGTTTATAGATAAGTTATAAGTTATTAATTCATCTACAAACCCTTTATAAATCATTAATAAATGTTTATTACGCATTAATTAAGGATGAGAAAGAAACAAAACTGTCCGGTTTCTTGCCAAATAGTGAGCCAAATCTGTTCACAGACATGTCATCTAAAAGGTGCTATATTAAACATTTCACACTAGGTACGTTATGGGCACAATTATGATTTGGAAACACATATTTAAGCAATTATTAGTACTGTATTACTTTATTATAAATATCTACAACTAATAAAGGGAGCCTTATTG